AAATAGTTTTTTTAGTTTAAAAATAGGAACAGAATGGACGTTTAGTATAGATTTCTGTGGAAACACTTTATAATAGAATATATCCTCCAGAGTAAAAGATCAAATATGTATTCAGTTTATAATTCAGTTATAGGCTTCTGACAGTTGTATATTTAGTATTCTAAATTAATGTTAATTTTGTTCTTATTCCTGTGTCATGCTTCTCTTCCTTTCCCATTCAAATGATACAAGCTAATGTTTTGTGCTCAACATGTAAATTAGCTTAAATTCTAAATCTGTGAGATTTTTTTACTTTTAAAAACTAGAAGTATAACTAAATTATTATAATGCAACCTAAGTAATGAAGCATCTTTAGTTGTATTTGAAAGAATTGGAATATTGCAACTGTATTTGGATATTTTTAGGATTTAATCTGAATATAGTTGGGTGCTAAAAATTACTTAAATATACAGTAGGCCCCCTTTTCTGTGATTTCAGTTACTATGGTCAGCCTGATTTTGAAAATACTAAATGGACAATTCTAGAAAGAAGCTATCCATAAGTTTTAAATTGTGTGCTGTGCCCTCTTCAGTAGCTTGATGAAATTCCATCCATTTCATTCCACCTAGGACAGACTCTTCCCTTTTTCCAGTGTCTCCACACTATAGATGCTACCTGTCCTTTAGTCATTTGGTACCCCTCCTGGTTATCAGAGAGTCACATAACTTTTATTACAGTATATAGTTATAATTATTCTATTTTTTATTATTTATTACTATTAATCTCTTACTGTGCCTAATTTATCATTTAAACTTTATCATAGGTATGTATAAGAAAAAATATAACATACAGAGGGTTCAGTACTAGCTACAGTTTCAGGCATCCACTTGGGGCTTGCAGTGTATTCCCAGCAAATAGGTGGGGACTACAGTAGTTGAATGCAGGACTATTGAGGAATGAAGAAAATATGTAGTTACTGTGAAAATCTAGTCTCATCTATTTGAGACCAGTTTCCTGCCCCCCTGCCACTTTTTTTTTTTTTGGTAGGTAGCCCTATTAGGTCATAGGTACCAAGAATCTAAATGTTTATTTTACTTTTAGGAAGGCAGGTGCTTTCTTCTATTTATTGTGTTTTACATTTTGGACAATTTTTCTAGTTATAATAGTTAATCTACAAACGAAAGTTCTTCCCTTCCAACACCACAGTAACAAACATAACTACATTTTTATACTTCCTTTATTGTTTATTTTTTAAAAGATTTTATTTATTTACTTTTAGAGAGATGGGGAGGGAGAGAGAAAGAGAGGGAGAGAGACATCAATGTGCTGTACTTCCTTTAAAAAAAGGAATAATTTGCCCTGGCTGGTGTGGCTCAGTGGATTGAGTGCCAGCCTGCGAACCAATGGGTCACAGGTTTGACTCCTAGTCTAGGGCACATGCCTGGTTTGTAGGCCAGGTCCCCAGTAGGGGGTGCACAGGAGGCAACCACACATTGAATCTTGTTTCCTTTTCTTTCTCCCTCCACCTCTCTAAAAATAAATAAATATTTTTCTAAAGTTAAAAAAAAGTTTAAATTTAAACAAAGGAATTACTTGAGATTTGACTCCACTTCCCTGTGGTACAGCCGTATTTTTCAGACTATAAGACGCACCCTTCCCCGCCATTTGGGAGGAGTAATGGTTGTAAATGTTGCTGTTGAGTTCTGTTTGCATTTACATTGGTGAAATATTATGTTACTTATGTTATTAAATATTTTGCCACATTTTTTGCGTCAAAATTTTTTTTCCTATTTTCCTCCTTTAAAACCTAGGTGCATCTTATGGTTCGAAAATGTGGATAGTTTGTCCTTTGTTTTATTTCTCTATTATTTAAAAAAATTTTTTTTTTAATTACAGTACACATTCAGTATTATTTTGTGCTGTTTCAGGTATACAGCACAGTAGCTAGACAATCACATATTTTACAGAATGTTCCCTCTGATATTTCCAGTACCATCTGGCACTATACATAGTTATTACAATGTTATTGACGATATTCCCTATGCTGTACTTTACATCTCCTTGACTGTTTTCTAAGTACTAATTTGTATTTTTTTGAATAGTTAATTTTTTAATGTATTTTTTCCATTACCATTTATCCCTCATATACCCTCTTCCACATCCACCCACCCTTCCTCTTTACACCCACCAATTTGTACTTCTTAATCCCTTCACCCTTTTCACTTATCCCCCTACCCTCCCTTCACTATGGCAACTATCAGTCTGTTCTCTGTACCTATGAGTCTGTTTCTGTTTTGTTTATTTGTTTATTTTGTTCTTTAGATACCACATATAAGTGAAATCATCTGGTATTTGTCTTTCTGTGACTTATTTCACTTAGCATAATACTCTCTAGATCAGTGATTTTCAACCCTTCTTATCTCATGGCACACATACACTAATACTAAAACTCTGTAGCATACCAAAAATACATATTTTTGCCAATCTGACAAAATAAAATAAGTATAATCTTTATTTATTCACACTGGACAGCAGTTGTATTGACTGTTGTCATTTTTATATTTGACAATCTAAGGGAAAAGAGGTCGGTTCCCTGATTAAATAATCAGGTATTGCATGTTTTAAAAATTCTTACAGCACACTAATTGAAAACCGCCCCTTTAGGTCCATCATGCTGTTACAAATGGTAAGATTTCATTCTTTTTATTACAGCCAAGTAATATTCCATTATGTATACAAGGTCTGTCCAGAAAAAGTCAAGCCATTGTTAATATAACAAGAATGGTTTGTGCGATATCAGTGTAACCTGGCAGCCAAGGAGAGTGGACTGGAATATGCATGTATGAACAATGATGACTTCACTGTATTAGTCAGTGGGGGTAGTAGATGCCATTGAGTTAGCATGTGTATTGTGTGGCTGTCACATTCAAAATGCCTGTGCAAATAGAGCAATGAATCTGCAACAAATTTTGCGTTGAGCTTGAACATTTCTCCGCGGAAACTATTTGGATGATTCAGGAGGCCGCAGCTATGGGCAACTGGTGATTGGAAGCTTCATCATGACAATGCATCTGCTCATGTATCATGTCTTCTGCAGTTTTCTGGCAGAACATCTAATCACCCAGGTAACTCAGCCCCCTACAGCTCACATGTGGCACCCTGTGACTTCTAGCTTTTCCCAAAACTAAAATCACCTTTGAAAGGGAAGAGATTTCAGACTACCAATGAGATTTGGGAAAATATGATGGGGTAGCTAGTGGTGACAGAGAGAACTGTGTGAGGTCCCATGGTACCTACTTTAAAGGGGACTGAAGCATCATTGTCCTGTGTACAATGCTTCTTGTATCTTGTATTTGCTTCAGTAAACATCTCTACTTTTCATATTACATGGCTGGATACCTTCTGGACAGACGTCGTTGTATGTACTACCTTTTATCTGCTCATATATTGGTGGGCACATGGGTTGCTTCCATATTTGGCTATTGTAAATGACACTGCAATGATTCTTTCATATTAGTGTTTTAGATTTCTTCAGATATATACCCTGCCTGAATTTGAATCAGTTAGTCATAAGGTGGTTCTGTTTTTAATTTTTTGACAAATCTTTGTACTGATTTTCATAGTGACTGCACCATTCTGCATTCCCACCAACACTGCATAAGGGTTCCCTTTTGTCTACATCTTTACCAATACTTGTTGCGTATGGATTTATTGATGGTAGCTATTCTGACAGGTGTGAGGTTGATATCTCATTGTTTAAATTAACATTTCTCTGACAATTAGTGATGTTGAGTGTCTTTGTCTAATGACCATCTGTATGTTCTCTTGGGAGAAGTGTCCATTCAGGCTCTCTGCCCATTTTTTAAATTGGATTGTTAGTTTTTTGGTGCTAAGGATTATGAGTTCTTTACAAAATTTGGATGTTACCCCTTATCAGATGTATCATTCATTGGTGAATATCTTCTCCCACTGAATAGGTTATCTTTTTGTTTTGTGGATGGTTTCCTTTGTTGTGCAAAACTTTTTTGTTTGATGTATTCCCATTTGTTTATTTTTTTCTTTTGTTTCCCTTGCCTAAGGAAATATAGCAGAAAAAATATTCCTAAGAGAAATGTCCAAGATTTTACTGCCTATATTTTCTTCTAGAAGTTTAATGGTTTCAAGCCTTAACATTTAAGTCTTTACTTCATTGTGACTATTCTTATATGGTAGAACAAGGTGGGCTAGTTTCATTTTTCTTTTTTGCATGTATCTTTCCAGTTTTACCAACACCATTAATTGAATATACCATCTTTTCTCCATTGTACTTTCTTGCTTCCTTTGTCAAATATTAATTGACCATATAGGTGTGTGTTTATTTCTGGGCTCTCTATTTTGTTCCATTGATCTGTAATATATGTGATATATGTTTTTATGCTAGTATGATGCTATTTTGATTACTGTTGCCTCATAGTATATAATTTGACACTAAGTAGCATGAGACCTCCAACTTTCTTTTTCTTTTTCAAGAATTCTGTGGCTATTTGTGGTCTTTTGTAATTCCATGTAAATTTGTGCATTATTTGTTCCAGTTCTGTGAAATACGCCATTGGTATTTTGATAGGAATTGCATTGAATCTATAGATTGATTTGGATAATATGAACATTTTAATGATGTTAACTCTTCTTATCCATGAGCATGGTATATGCTTTCTTTTATTTGTATCTTCTTCAGTGTCTTACGGTATTTTTATGTATAGATCTTTTACCTTCTTGATTAAATTTATTCATAGGTATTTGATGTATTTGTAAGTGAGATTATTTGCTTAGTTTTCCCTTTCTGATAATTCATTATTTATTGATGTGTAAAAATGTAATCAATTTTTAATACATATTTTGTATCTTGCTACTTTACTGAATTCATTTATCAGTTCTAGTACTGTTTTTGTGGAATCTTTAGGGTTCTCTTCTTTCATTTTATAAATACCTAGAACATTAATGGCAAGGTTGAAGTGACAGTTACGGCTTATTCTCTTTTTCAGATGATCACAGTCGTGTTAAACTGCAAAATGCTGAAAACGATTATATTAATGCCAGCTTAGTTGAAATAGAAGAGGCGCAAAGGAGTTACATCTTAACACAGGCAAGTGGTGGTTTTGTGAAGCAGATATCTGGCAATGCACTTTTTGTTATTGGTCTACTTTAAAATATAGCTAAAAGAATGTTTTGGCTTTTTAGAAATGAAATGCTGTTTTATTTTTTTTCTATTTCTTAGTAATGAATTGTAGAAATTACAATATTTTTCAGGTTTGTATATTTAAAGTAAAAGTAAAGGTAATTTTAATGTTATACATTCTGTAAAGGAAAAAATTTTAATGAAATGGCTCAGGCCAGTTCTTTCAGGCAAATTATCTTCTTTGTATTATACTTGATACAAAGCCTTTGTTAATCTTCCACTTCTCTCCAGATAGCCTGTATGATAACCAGAGACCCTTTGAAAAGTTCTTCTGTACTCCTTGCTAGCATGGGGTTGTCCAACCCATGGCCCACGGACTGCAGGTGGCCCAGGATGGCTATGAATGTGGTCCAACACAAAATCATAAATTTACTTAAAACATTGTGAGGGGGTTTTTTTTTGTTTCATTAGTATTTGTATATTTAATATATGGCCCAAGACAACTCTTCTTCCAGAGTGGCCCAGAGATGCCAAAAGTTTGGACACCCCCAAGTATGGATATGCCCTAGATGGTGTCCGGCCTTTATTCAGGGAAGAGTGGGGATACTGAGACCAGATGCCCATAGAACTGGCTAAGGGAAAGAACCGAAAGCCTGGCAGTTAGTTCCCTTTGGTGTTCTGCCTGATTACTTCTTGGCACATTGGCCAAGTACTGCTTTTCTTTTATTCTGTGATAACAGAAGTTATTTTGATTTATCTGCACCAACTACCCTTTGTTTATCAAATAACAGAGACCTTTTTAATAGTAATGTAATTACCTCAAGTTAATGGTTTTTAAATATCCCAGAGATAAGTAGTATATTCATAATACTGAGATTTTTAAAAGATTTTTTTATTTATTTATTTTTAGAGAGGGGAAGGGGAGAGAGAGGGAGAGAAACATCAATGTGCGGTTGCTGGGGGTCATGGCCTGCAACCCAGGCATGTACCCTGACTGGGAATTGAACCTGCGACACTTTGGTTCACAGCCAGTGCTCAATCCACTGAGCTACACCAGCAGGGGAATACTGAGATTTTTAAAAAACTCAATATGGATCAGAATATGGTAAAAAGATGTTAAAATGAATGTAGCTAGAAGCTATTAGACTATTTCTAATGCACAGGAAACTAAAATTAATTACTTTCTTTTACTTGAAGTAAAACAGTTCCTTCAAACAACAGAAAATCAAACACAAAAGGAAAAGTAATCTGTGAAAAACTGGTAAAGAACACGAATTCACAGTTCAAAGGAAAAGAGAAAAGTAGGTAATATACATATGAAAAGATCCTCAGTTTTTCTAATAAGGTGATACAAACTTAAACCAGCAATCACCACTTTTTACTTGTCAGAACAGCAGAGACTTAAAAATGTATAATACTCAGTAGTCAAATGCATACAGACATAAACATATGTGTGAGGATGTTTCTTGCAACTTTAATTTTAATAGCATAGGACCAGGAATAATAGGACTGAAATGACCAATAAGGGACTGGGCTAAATAAATTATATATAACCCACTAGCCAGTTTCTGGGAATTACGAGTAGAGACTTTTATTTGCCATTTTCTACCTTTCTGTAATATTTTAAGTTTTTCCTATGAGCATTAATGACATTTTTAATAACTCATTTTTAGAGTTAAAAAAAATTACTTTCTATTGGAAAAACTATAATATTAGAAAAGAATAACTATCCTAGAAAGACTTAAAAATTATTTTATTGTCATGTATTACAGTTAAAATACAGTATTATATTATTTCAGGTATACCACATAGTGATTAGATATTTATATAACATATAAAGTGATCGCCCAATAAATCTAGTGCCCATCTGATAACATACATGGTTATTACAATATTATTGACCATGCTATATTTTACATCCCTGTGACTGTTTTTATAACCAGCAATTTGTACATCTCAATCCTTTCTCCTTTTTGCACCCATTTCCCCTAACCACCTTTCCATCTGACAGTCATCAAAATGTTCTCTGTATCTATGAGTTTGTTTCTGTTCTATTTGTTCATTTATTTTGTTTTTTAGATTACACATATAAGTGAAATTATATGGTATTTGTCTTTCTGTGACTTATTTCACTTAGCATAATACCCTCCAGGTCCATCCATGTTGTTGCAAATGGCAAGATTTCATACTTCTTTATGACTGAGTGATATTCCATTGTATTTAGTATCACATCTTCTTTATTCGTCTTAGATTGGATTACATATTTTACACTTAGATTGCTTCCATATCTTGGCTATTGTAAAGAATGCTGCGATGAACATAAAGATGCCTGTGTCTTTTCAATTCAGTGTTTTGGGTTTCTTTGGATAACCAGAAGTAGGATTGCTTTTCTCTTGTTATAGCCTTTATTTTAAAATCTATTTCATCTGATACCAGGTATTGGTAACCCAGCTTTGTTTTTCTTTATTTCTTTTCAAAAAGTATTTTGTATTTATTTTGGGGACAGAGAGAAACATTGATGTGTGAGAGAAATGATGTTCAATTGGTTGCCTCATGCACGCCCCCAGATGGGGTCCTGGCCCGCAATCCAGGTGTGTGCCCTGCTTGTGAATCCAACTGGAGACCTTCAGTCACAGGCCAGCATTCAATCCATTGAGCCACACCAGCCTGGGTGCCAGCTTTATTCCTTTTATTTTCATTTGCCAGAAGTATCATTTCCCATCCTTTTACTTTCTGTCTTCGTGCATCTTTCAGTTTGAAGCAGATCTAGTAGAGAGAATATATATGGGACTTGTTTTCCTATCCATTCAACTACCTTTTGCATTTTGATTGGAGCATTTACTCCTTCTACAATAAAAGTGATTATTGATAGGTGTATAGTTATTACCATTTTATTATTTATATGTTTTATCTTCTTAAAGTTCCTTTGGCATTTTTGGTAATGCTAGTAATGAAGTCCATTAGCTTTTTCTTGTCTGGATCCTTATCACAACCCTCTCTGTTTTTTGCTAGTCTCATTTATCTATTTATTTATTTTCTCATCCTGGTCCATAAAAACGTAGGTGTTTCTCAAGATTCTGATTTAGGTTTTTTTACCCACCTCAGCCTAAACACATGACCTTCAGCACTCAGGCACCGTATTTTCAATCTTTGTATCTTGAGAGAGAGAGTGTTGACTCTGAATTTACAGGATCCATGCTCAAATCCTGGTCCCAGCAAATTCATTCATCCAATGAAGATTTATTGATTGAGTACATAGTTTGTAGCAGACATTGTTCAAATAAAAGAGACATTAATAAAAACCCTGCCATTATGAACTTTATATCCTAGTGGGAAGTAAAATTAATAACAGTAATTCTGTAACATTTTTTAATATTTTTATGTTTTGTATAATTTTAGCCTCAGGATAAATACTGATATTATCTTTAGTCTTTGTGATAAATACCATAATAACAGTATTCTTTATGTTATATATGAAAAATAATCTAAACAGTAGTCTTTATGTTATACATGAAAAATAATCTAAAAAGACCCAATGACATTAAATAACTTTATCAAGGTCATACAACTAGATGAGAGCAGAATTTAAAACCACATGATCTCCACAGGATCCATGATTTAAACTCATTAATCATTCAACTCTACTATTTTAAAATTACTATGCAGCCTTGGAAAAGTTACTTAACTCCTCAATCCTATATGTCTCTGTTATTGATATGTACTTATATTGTCTGTAGAATGATGTTGAGAGAAATTCATATAGTACCTGATACTATGGTAAGCACTCCATGGATTGTATGTTGTAGAATTTGTTATTGCTTTTATTAGTATAGTAGTAATAATAATCCTTTTGTAAAATGCTTAAATTTCATCAGGATAAAGAAAATGTCTGATTAATACTATAGTGATTATGTTTAAATCTCCCGTCTCTGTTGAACTGTTTCTGTGTGTCTCTCGACAGAGCCCCTTTGTTCATTTGGAGCACGAGAACTCAGAAGCTTGTCTTCAGATTTTTCTTCTTCTCTGAATTCCTCCCCTATATTCTAGTTCTCCACTTGATATTTTTACCCACATGACTCATTGACATCACAAATTCCCCATTTTCTATATCTAACTTGTTGGGGTTTTTTTAACCAAACCTTTTAAAAAAAATTTTACCATTTTTTCTATTTTTCTCGTCTGGGTTAAAGCTATCCTCATCATCTGGATCATTTCCTTTCATTTTCTGCCTCTGCCCTTTTCTAGACCTCTCTTAAACTTTTTTTGATCTGATGCAGTAGCTTTTTTTAACTTATTTCCATGTCATCAGCCCTTCCCTTTCTAATCCATATTTAATAATGCCACTAGAATTATTTTTATAACATACAAATCTGATCATATCACTCTTTAAAACAAATTTGGTGGCTATTTCCTGAATGGAGGACCCTTTACTACTCTGCAGGTGTAGTTTTTTACTGCACACCTCCCCTTTGCCTTCATTGATCTATTTGTCTTTTCTCAGATATGTCCTAAACACGCACATGCCTCACCTTATTCTTGGAATGGACCCTGACCCCCTCTCTCAGTCAGTGCCCTCCTTATGTTCAAGGCTCTGATGTAATATCCTTCCTATTCCCAAAGCTCAGAGAGTTTACCTCTTGCTCTTATGGCACTTGATGTATTTCAATTAGTAGGACAAGTACTTCTCTTCATCTCCGTTGTAAGCTCTTTGAAGTCTGAGACTGCTCTTGTCCTTGTACCTTGTACTTTGGAAAGAGAACATACTCAGAAAGTATTTCAAAGGATAGAGAAAACTAGAGATGGTAAATGTTTATTAAAACTTCCCCTGTTCTGATTGTCCTTTGTTCCTTTTTTTATTATCCTTTCCCCTGAGTTTTATGAATTAAAAAAAATATCAGTCTCTTGGTATAAATCTCTATTTTGCAGAAGAAAGTTGGTAGTATTGCTGGTAAATGGAAGAGCTGAGACTTAAACCCTTGTCCCCACATTCTCAGTGTACACACTAAGGAATGACTTCATTGGTGGATTGATATATCCATTTTTTTCTAGATGAAAGAAAAGGTATTTATTTTACTGGGTATTTACTCATTGCTGTTTTTACTTTTACAGTGTCTGTTTTGTTTTAGAAGTACATCAAGTAATAAATAGTATGTGTTGAATGAGAAAAGTAGCTTTAAACATTAGGTTGCAGTTTCTCAGGATTCTTACTAGATTTCTATTATTTTAATAACTTAGAAGCTTAGGGGTTTTTTTTAAATATATTTTATTGATTATGCTATTACAGTTGTCCCATTTTCCCCCTTCACTCCCCTCCACCCTATATACCCTCTCCCACCCATATCCCCCCTTTAGTCATGTCCATGTGCATACTTACAAATTCTTTACCTTCTACATTTCCCATACTATTCTTACCCTCCCCCTATCTATTTTCAACCTACAATCTATGCTACTTATTCTCTGTACCTTTTCCCCCTCTCTCCTTCTCCCCTGTTGATAACCCTCCATGTGATCTCCCTTTCTGTGGTTCTGTTCCTGTTCTAGTTGTTTGCTTAGTTTCTTTTGGTTTTGCTTTAGGTGTGATTGTTAATAATTGTGAGTTTGCTGTCCTTTTACTATACATGTTTTTTCTTTATCTTCTTTTCTTAGATAAGTCCCTTTCACATTTCATAAATAAGGGCTTGGTGGTGATGAACTCCTCTAACTTGACCTTATCTGAGAAGCACTTTATCTGCCCTTCCATTCTAAATGAAAGCTTTGCTGGATAGAGTAATCTGGGATATAGGTCCTTTTCTTTCATGACTTGGAATACTTCTTTCCAGACCCTTCTTGCTTGTAAGGTCTCTTTTGAGAAAACTGACAGTCTGATGGGAACTCCTTTGTAGGTTACTGTCCCCTTATCTCTTGCTGCTTCTAGGATTCTCTCCTTCATTTTTACCTTGGCTAATGTAATTATGATGTGCCTTGGTGTGTTTCTTCTTGGGTCCAACTTCTTTGGGGCTCTCTGAGCTTCCTGGATTTCCTGGAAGTCTATTTCCTTTGCCCGACTGGGGAAGTTCTTTATTATTTGTTCAAATACATGCTCAATCTGTTGCTTTTCCTCTTCCCCTTCTGGTACCCCTATAATTCGGATATTGGAATGTTTAAAGATGTCCTGGAGGTTCCTAAGCTTCTCGGGTTTTTTTGAATTCTTATTTCTTCATTATTTCCTGATCGGTTTTTTTTTCTTCCTTCTGGTCCACTCTATTGTTTTGAGTCCCAGTTTCCTTCCCATCGCTATTGGTTCTCCGTGCATCTTCCTTCATCTCTGTTATGGTAACCTGCATTTTTTCATCTAATTTGTGCCCAAAATCAACCAATTCTGTGAGCTTCCTGATCACCAGTGTTTTGAACTGTGCATCTGATAGATTGGCTATCTCTTGGTCGCTCAGAAGGATGAGCCCTGGGGCATTGATCTGTTTTTCTGTTTGAGACTTGTAGCATCTGTTACAGTGAGGGGTGGAGCCTTAGGTGTTCACCAGGGCTGGGCACCCCAGTCGCTAGATTGTGACGTTGTATGTGGGGGCAGGGGCAGGAGTGGGAGGGAACAATGGCGGTATCTCCGTGCTCCTGGGATCTCAGCCCCTTCCCTGGGATCCTGGGTTGCGCGCTCTGACCTGGTTCACAATCGTAGCCTCACTGGGTCCGCCAGTTGCCGCTTGCATACTCATGGTCCACCCGCTGCGATCTTGCGCACCCTCTGGATGGCTTACATGCTCCCAGTTGCCTTATGCACCCAGTTCTCCCTGTTTTCCTTGCTCCACGACCCGCGCCTGGCTACTGCTCATCTCTGCCCCTCCTACCGATCTGGATGAACGGGTCTACTTCAATTTCTTGGCTGTCCGACTTCCATTCAGATAAATTCTCTGTCAGTTCTAGGTGTTATTCTGCCTCTAAATTGTTGTTGTTCTAATCTTGGTTGTGTGTGAAGGTATGGTGCGTCCACCTATGCCTGCATCTTGCCGGAAGTCTAGAAGCTTAGGTTTTATTAATTAAAATAATATTTAAGAGCATTTGCTACATACCAGGGGATACAGTTTTCTTAAAGATGCTTTCAGTCCGGTATCATTTGAATTACCCATTTTACTTTTAGAGCTGAAGCTCCAGGCTGACCTGACCCCCCAGTCCTCATTGTGCCTCTAACTTAACACTCTACCACATTGCCCTATGAGGTGACTGCATGCTGAGTTGCTTTAGGTACATTAAAACCTCATTTATTTTAACCTTCACTTATTTGAAATTAGTTATAATTTGGTCATGGCCTTTCATCTCTTATTTGCCCTTTTTTCTGCCCTATGTTACCATTAAACACAATGTGAAGATAATTGGAAGTACATATTACAATGATATTTTTTTCTCATGGCAATATTGTAATATGAATCATTGCCCCTTTAAGTCTGCTGTTGAGGTCACATGCTGTGGTTTTGTAGTTTAATAGTTTTATTGTGGTTCAGGTACTTTGATATTTCTGCTTTTTCTGCAAATCTTTTGTTGGCTGGCTGGCCAGTGTTAGCACAAACTTCCTCTTTTCTGGACTGCCCTGATCTATGGGAGGCAGGGCCTCCTCTCTTTCTGCTGTGGAAGCTGAAGGGGACAGAAATTTCCTTTGCCTACCTCCTTTTCAAGTAGAACATGACTCTCGGGCAGTCAGGTATTCCCACTTGTGATTTTGGCTCTGGTTTGCTTCAGGTTTTGTGTGAGTACTACAGCCATCTTTGTATGGCAATGCTAGCAAAGCAAGGTGGTAGACCTGACAGTATCAGGAGTGTTGCACAACCCAGGCTGACTCTTCTTTGGGTAGAATCTTGCCTTGACATTTGTTTCTGCCCAAGCTTGGTTCTCTAGTTGTCAACTCTGAAAGTGACCTGCTAACCTAAAGAATTCCTTTTCTGCCTAAGTGAATAAAAGTCAGTTTTGATTATTTATAACTGATAATCCTAACTAGTACAGACATTTTTTTTTATTCAAGTGGATTTAAAGTCTTGATTAGCTAATTATGATCAGTACATTTTTCTCAAACCAGAACCATACTTGAAGGAGTTTCCTTGAACTTTGCTCCATCACTGTCTCTTACATACTTTTTCTTGGCTGTTCTTACAGGGCCCACTTCCTAATACAGGTTGTCATTTTTGGCTCATGGTTTGGCAGCAAAAGACGAAAGCAGTTGTCATGCTAAACAGAGTTGTGGAGAAAGAATCGGTGAGTAATACTTAATATTTACAACTTAGTGTACTGCTTGTGATCATTAGCTTATAAATATTTTCATATTTCTTTTGGGATATTTATTCATAACTTTTGGTATTTAATTACTGAAGGATAGTAGTCAAGGTGTTTCTGACCTGAAAAACTAATGAATCCTTTTCCTTTCATACTTTGTTTAAAAATTATTGTTCAAGTACAGTTTTCTGCCTTTTGACCCTCCTTTCGTACTTTTAATATGTAAGTAACAATTGCAGACAATGGTCCTCCAAGATATAAATATAATGGAACAAATACGAGCTAGTAGTATACATAGAAGTTGGGACTACCTAGGCTTTATTAGAATTTTTACATTTTTTATCAGAATCTTGGAAATTTTATTAAAGATTAAAGTAACAGGATTTTTAAATTTAACCACTAAGGAACTTAGTTCCTTAAAAGTGGTTACATTTGCTTTTCTTTGGTCATCTTAAACATGTTATTCCATTTCTTTCTGGCATTACAAACTACTGTCTAAGTCAAGAGGAAATCTTTTTTTTTAAATAAATCACTTTTTTAAAAACTCTAGACTCTGTTAATTTTACCGAACTATGTCTTAGTGTTGGTCATTCTGGGTCAGTTTCTCCAGGGGCATAGTGTACACTTTCAGTATGTGATTTGATATATTGTTTTCCTTTTTTAAAGAAAAAGTTATTGAATCATACTTTCAGTATTTATTGTTACCTTGCTTGCTTTGGTGTTCTTTGGGTCTTCCTATTATACATATCTTAGATTTTCTTTGCCTATTTTTTTTAAAGATTCTGTTTACTTATTTTCAGAGAGAGAGGAAAGGGGGAGGCGGGAAGAAACATCAATGTGTGGTTTCCTCTTGAATGCGCCAGGCATATGCCCTGACCGGGAATTGAACCAGCAGCCCATTGGTTCGCAGGATGGCGCTCAATCCACTGAGCCACACCAGCCAGGGCTCTTTGCCTGTTTTTATATTTGATACAATGTCTTTCTAATTCTATTTGCTACTCTTCATTTTTTTAAAAGATTTTTCCTTTTCCTGTTAATATGTTATCTGTTCCATTTATTCACACCTCTGTTCCTTTTAAGATTTTATTTATTTATTTTTGGAGAAAGGGGAAGGAAGGGAGAAAGAGGAGAGAAACATCAATGTGTGGTTGCCTCTCATGCACCCCCTGCTAGGGACCTGGCCTGCAACCCAGGCATGTTCCCTGACTGGGAATTGAACTGGTGACCCTTTGGTTTGCATTCCAGCACTCAATCCATTGAGCCACACCAGCCAGGGCAATTCCTTTTAGTTTAATTAGTCTTCTTTTGTGTTCTATTAATGAAATGACTCTTATCTTACTTTGCCTCAGTCTACTAGCTCCATAATTTGGCTTTTCAGAAGATACTTAGTATTGCCACAAATAAATTTTATATTAGTAGTTCAGCCAAAATGTAACAACTGCAGGTGAAGTGGGCTTATCTTCTAATTCTCTTCCCTGACTTAGTAAGTAAATAACACAGTGTTATTTCTAGATATGTAGTATTTAATAGCAGATTTATAGGTATTTATGAAAAATATTTGTAAAATAGAGCCTTTTAAAATATTTTTGGAATATAAGATTCTTGCAAGAGTTTGATACTTTTGGAAACAAAGTAAATACCAGTATGCTGTTAAACTGTAGGTTATCATCCTTTAGAAATGACAAATTCATTTTTATTTTATTAACATTATATCTGCTTATGGCTTTTTTAGTGTATAAGTTATAGGAAAATTTTACAAACCTGCTCTTATAAAATGCCCATCCAGTTAAAATAGATTAAACATCAAATATAGTGTGACTGTTCTTAGATTTGAGTAGTTGAAAACAATAGCATGTATATGTATGGTTTGTTTTTATTTTCCAATTCTTATGGTTTCATAATGTCTATATACTAAAAATATATATACACATATTCTTAAATTTAGGTTAAATGTGCACAGTATTGGCCAACAAAAGACGACCAAGAGATGCTGTTTAAAGAAACAGGATTCAGTGTGAAGTTCTTATCAGAAGATGTGAAGTCGTATTATACAGTACATCTACTGCAATTAGAAAATATCAATGTAAGATTTTTCATGCCCCAAAGATTGAATTTTATGTGACGATTTTAAGAATTATTTTTATTCGATTTTTTGAAAATTATAGTTGACAACAATATTATATTAGTTTTCCAGGTGTCCTTTGCTATTAGATTTGAAGTTTGGAGCAGCGCATATCTTTTGATTATAATGCCTCCTTTTCAGGACTGTTATGGAGATCCAGTGAACGTATGCATGCAGAGCATCTGATGCAGTGCAGGCAGCCAATAAGCAATAGCTGTTGGTACTTACTATTCAGAGTAGCAAGCTATTTAAGAAAATAACTTACTGGAATGTTGCTAATTCAAGTGATTCACCACACAAATTTGTCATGATTGAATTGGGCAACATGGTGAAATAAATTGAGCTTGTATTCTCAAGAATATACTTGATTTTTCCCAGAAATATAAGAATTGTTCCTTGGTACTTGGTTGAGATACATATAAATGGTGGATTGTGAGCCTGCTGTTGTCAAGCTGGGGATCAAGACCTTTCTCCCCATTGTTCCACTTACTTCTTTTGCATTCTTTGTGTTACGGTTAGAATAAATACCAAATATGAAATGATAGTGATTCTGATATGCAATTAGAAACTAAAAAAAACTAGAAAATAGGAAAATGTTTGCCATAAAATGACTTTTAGAATGTATCTAGTCACTTTATAAAGTGAGATACTGTTTTACTTACCATTAAGTAGATTAATTCATTAACACAATTATTAACAAAAAATAAAGTTTTGTAGAGAACAGAAGGGATATACATAAAAGTATTTTTTGATACTTAAAAATACCTTTTATGATTGATCTCTTGGAACACCTGTTTTTATTGCATACTGTAAGCACGGGTGCATACTATGTGCTTAAGGCCCAGGTCCAGCTACTCATGACATCCATAACCAAGTTTATTATGTGATCTCTTTTAGGTCATCTAAGGAGGCTCAGGGGTGGGGATTACCAGGCTTATACTTATTTATAAATTTCCTTTACCATGTTTATTCTGCACCAACTATTGCATTTACATATGCCTTAAGATATATTGACACACATCAACAGCTATTTGATTGTATGGCATTATTTCCAGAAACAGAACTTCATTTGCATGAACTTCTTCTGGTTCTCTGCATTGTCTTCTCTTGGTATTTATCCCAGGTACCTCATCTACTTGTGGCATTAAAATGGAGAAGGGCATAGATGTCTTTCTCTGTTTTTGAAACCTAATTAAAAATTGATTATATCTCAAATAATAAGGTGGAATGACTTGTATTTTGTTTATTAGTTTGCAAAGTGCTTTCACATATATGCCATTTGATCCACAGTCTTTCTGGAATGTGGATAGAATAAATATTTTTTAATATCCCTGTATTTCATATTTAAAAGAAAAAACAAAACTAAAATCCATTAGGTTCTAGGATTTTTTTCTATGAATAGATTACTCAGCTAATAAGTGACAGATCAGAACTCAAATCCAGATCTCCTAACTTCTAATGACATAAAGTTATTAGACATAGAGTTATTAGACATAGAGTCTAATGACATAGAGTCTTTTGAAAAAAGATGCTAATTGTTGTAAAGGAGGATTCTTGGTTCTTAAGCATCTTTCTAAATGAAATCACCATGTGAGCTGGCCAACCACTATGTTTCAGTTGTTAGCAACTGTGTGATTTCTTACTGGCCTGGGTTCAGAGTCTACCATAATTAAATGGCAACAGTTTGTTTATATTCTATTTTACAACCTTTAGTAAGCACTAGGAATGTTAGAAGAATAAAGTCATATTTCAGTTGGAGAGGCAGAATTGCATTTGGTTAATTATTTAGACTCTGGAACCAGATTGCCTGAGTTTAAATCCCAGCTGAGCTCAGCTGTTCCTTGCTGTGTGATTGGTCTCGTTACTTAACCTCTGTACCTCAGTTTTCTCATCTACAAAATGAAGATAATGATGTGTACCTATCCTAAGGGGTTTGTTATAAGAATTAAGCGAATTAATACTATATAACAGTACCTAAAATTCGGTGTAGGATCCACAGTTATTAGCTTTAGTTGTCTATATCGGTTTTCTTTGTAGTATTAATGAATTGGAAACAACTGCAGGAGCAAGGACACTTGAAAAGATCAAGTTGAGGGAGAAGGAAATAATGAGAGAGTGACAGGTGATGAAGTAGGGGAGTGATAGCCAATCTCGCCAGCAGATCTTTGTTGAGATTCCTGAGCTGCAGAGAACCAGTTGGCTTCTAAAGGAGTCTGGCTTATATCTATTAACAGATCCAGGTCCAGAGCTGTCTGTGCAGGCCCTGCTTTTTTATAGATCTCTTGTCTAATGGAGCAGTAAAACTACATACCAGTAGTATTTTTACAGTGTCTTGATTAGAGCTGAATTTAAACTTTTGCTCTTGAATGAAGAGATTGAATTTTTGCTTTTAAAGTGTTTGCTTTTAAAGCTGTGGCTTAAGCTATGAAGATAGTTTTGAGGGGCTTTTAAAGTACAAGGTCATCTAGTGTGCTTATTTATCTTTCATTTTTTTCTTTATAGTTGTCCTTCACTATTTTCCATAATATTGTTGGCCAACTTATTCCAGAAATACACTTGTAATATTGACAGCCAGCCTTCTATTTCTCTCTGTAGATTTGTCCCAAACAGATGAGTGTCTAATTATGATGTTTAGCTGGGACTTGAGTCAAAATAGCTTAAAGGTTTATCTCTCCTGGAATGTCCTGGTCTCTTCTCTTCCTACTTATAGCCTACCAATCTTTCAGGCACTACCACTTGTGCCCCATTTTTTACTGAGGTCTCAGGATATATCTGTGATGCATTCATTTTTATCAGCTAAGAGTTTCTCTCCTTAATTTAAATTTTACCACTTTACTGGCTCATTCACTACTTCTGTGTATATATATTTTGACTTTATATAACAAGGTTTTTAACTCCCCATGGGCAAGGTTCTTATCTGTTACCTTTGAACTCTTCTCTTTTGTTGCACTGAGTACATTGTTAACCATACTACAACTGAGTGGCTATTTTCAAACAGGCATGATTCTTCCACCTTGCTCTAAAAACTTTCCATTGCCCTTTCAGAAGTCCGTGGCCCAGCCCAGCTGAGTCCTTGCTTCCTTCTGTACCTCATCTCCTTTAGGGACTCAAGATTCCTTCTTGCTAAATGACTTAACTCTTCTCACATAGGTTTTTACTTGGGGGCTCATACCTCTGCATATTGCTTTTCTTTGCTTAGAATGAAATCCCTGTTCCTAACTATCCTGTCACTCTCCTCTCCTATAGATCTGGTGAGTTCTATTAATCTTTTAAAATAAAAGTAACGAGGGGGGTTCCGGCCAAGATGGAGGCATAGGTAGAAACACTTTGCTTCCTTGCACAACCAAAATAAGGATAAAAAACAACCAATCTAAAAACAATAAATAAGAAGTGACAGAAAATCAAACTGTATGGAACCCCAACAGCCAAGGAGTTAAAGAAACATTCACCCAGACCTGTAGGAGGGGCGAAGATGGGAGGCAAGCCCCTGAGAGGAGAGGATGCATGGCAAGGCTATAGACTGTGCGGGCAAGGCATGGCTGGCTGAACAGGACACTAAAGACTCAAAGTTTGCTATAAACTACTGCAGGGGTTGCCATGGCGGGAGAAACTCCCAGTCTCACAGGAGAGAGTTTGTTGGAAAGTAGGGCTGGAGTAGAGCAAGTGAGTGGCATTGTTCCCTCTCTCACCCTTCCCCCAGAGACAGTGCCACAACAGCAGCAAAGAGGGTAGCCCTGCACTGGCAAAAAACTAAGGCCCTTCCCCTTTACAACATACAGGAGTGCCAAGACAAAGAAACATGGCCCAAATGAAAGAACAGATCAAAACTCCAGAAAAAGAGCTAAGTGATGGGGAGATAGCCAACCAATTGGGTGCAAAGTTCAAAACACTTAGTAATCAGGATGCTCACAGAACTGCTTCAGCTCAGTGGCAGAATGAAGGAAGAAAGGAAGGCTACCCAAAGTGAAATAAAGCAGAATATACAAGGAACCAACAGTGCAGGGAAGGAAACCAGGACACAAATCAACAATTTGGAACAAAAGGAAGAAATAAACATCCAACTGTAGTGGAATGAAGAAACAAGAATTCAAAAAAAAAAAAAGGGAGTAGAGGCTTAGGAACTTCTGGGACAACTTTAAGTGCTCTCAGATCAGAATCATAGGGGTACCAGAAGGAGAAGAACAAGAAGTTGAAAACTTATTTGAACAAATAATAAAGGAAAATTTCCCCAACCTGCCAAAGGAAATAGAGTTCCAGGAAGCCCAGAGAGTCCCAAAGAAATTGGACCCAAGGAGGAACACACCAAGGCACATCATCATTAAGTTACCCAAGATTAAAGATAAAGACAGAATCTTAAAACCATCAAGAGGAAAGGAGAGAGTTAGCCACAAAGGACTTCCCATAAGACTATCAGCTGACTTCTCCAAAGAAACCCTACAGGCAAGAATGGACTGGAAAGAGGTATTTGAAGTCATGAAGTGCAAAGACCTACATCTAAGATTATTCTGTCCAGCAAAGCTTTAATTTACAATGGAAGGGCAAATAAAATGCTTCCCAGATAAGGTAAAGTTAAAGGAGTTCCTCATTACCAAGCCCTTATTATATGAAAGGTTAAAGGGACTTCTATAAGAAATGGAAGAAGTTTCTGTGAACAGCATAATGACAACAAGTTCACAACTATCAACAACTGAACCTAAAAAGCAAAAACAGAAACTAAGGAAACAACCAGAGCAGGAACAGAACCAGAGAAACAGAGATCATATAGAGGATTTTCAGTGGGGCTAGGGAAGAGAAGAATTTGGAAGGGGAAAGGTACAGGGAATAAGAAGCATAATTGATAGCCATAAGAAGCATAATTGATACCCACAGACAGGGAGGTTAAGAATGTTATGGGAAACAGAGAGGTCAAAGAACTTATATGTACAACCCATAGACATGAACTAAGTGGGCAGGGGTGGGGGGAATGCTGGGGAGTTGGGGGGTGAAGGGTGGAGGGGAAATAAAGGGGAGAAAAAAACCTGGGAAAACTACTAGCATAACCAATAAGATAGACTTAAAAATATTACTCATTAAAAATAAAAGTAGCCAAATATTTAACATGGAGTATATAGTGATCCTGGCAATAATGATGAGAGCCTGAACTAAGGCAGTGACCACGAGGGTACAGATTTGATATATTAAATATATATTTAGGAGGTAATGTTAACAAACTTTGCTAATCTTCAGGTGCAGAGGGAATATTAAGTGAAGAGATTGAAAATATGGAGAGTTTTAAAATGATTGGAAATTGTTAGGGGCTATCATAAATTAGTGAGTATAATAGTTTCAGAAATAGCCAGTATCTATTAAGCTTTATCATGTGCAAATATACATTAGGTATTTTGCATTCATTATTTCATTTATTCCTCATAATAGCCTTCTAAGGTAAGTACTATTTTTAACCCTATCTACAGATGATGAAATTGGGGCATATAGAAGTCTTCTGGAAACATAATCTTGGTATCTTCTATATATGCCTAGAAGTGTAAAAATAATTAGGCCTGGACCCATAGAGCTGCATAGATTTTTATATTAATTAGAAAATATGTATACTGATGATGAAAATAATAGTTAATTTGAATGGCTTTTGACAGCATACATTTAAATTGCCATTGCAATAAGCCTAACAGCTCCCCATTGTCTTATAACCGTTTAGCTCAGATTATCTTTCTGTCCTCCATTTACAGGGTGGGGCAACAGTAGATTTACAATTGGGAGGTCAGGAAACAGTTTATTTTTGTATTATTATTATTAATTATTCTATTTTTCATATGAACAACTGTAAACCTACTTTTGCCTACCCTGTATAATGAGTTTGATATCTTTATTCAAAAACTTTAAATTTAAAATTCTTCAAAAAATGTAAATGAGATTTTTGCCTTAAAATGAACAGTGAACTACTTGACATCTTTGGGTAGAGTGTGGTTTACATAATACAACATTGTACAAAGAGAATTGGGCAGGTGTGTACAGAGCAGCTGGAGAAGGGACAACTAAGCAGTTGTGGGTGCAAATTAGGTGTGTGTGTGTGTGTGTGTGTGTGTGTGTGTGTGGTACAATTGTGAGAAAGGGCTGGGAGGGACCGCCTGAGCATTGCTGAGGGAAAACTGTGTAACTTGGTGACTTAGGAGAAGGAAAGGGTGCTTTAACAGTTTTCATACAAGGAGATTGTCAGATATTCTAAAGTCTAAATGTAGAGCTTGTTTGGAATGAAGATGAATTTTGTTTTAGCTCTCTATCCTTTGGCAAGCCTTTTTTTCCCCACATGAAAAAGAGGGAAAAGGGGTCTGTCTAATAATTCATATAAACATTTCTTTTATACCACAGAGTAACATCAGGCTCTTACTGCTTTAGGTGGTCTTTTGGGATTTATATGATTTTGTGAGCTGTTGCTTTTTTAATCTTTTTTTCAGTAAGAGTAAATTAATAATGGAGTTTTTTAGTCTGTTCTGATAGAGAAGAAAAAGACCGATTTTCAAAAATCCATTAGTCAGCATCATACAAACACTATATCATACAAATAGTTGTGAGCATTTCTGGGAACTGTCTTTGAATAACCCAGACAGTATGGCTTGAATTTGAAAAAATTGAACAGGGGGTCAGTAGTCTTGAGCCAAAATCATACAAGCAAAGAAAAAGCAAACAGTTGTTCAGGACTGTGAGGTAACCATAGGTTTGGTGCCAGGAGGTGATATAATAATTGAACATACAATCACTTAGAAACACTAGGCCACACCATAAGGAGCACAGCTCCTATGCAAGCAGGGTCCACATGCAAATGGATAGTCTGGCCCTGCTGTGCACAGCCAGCACTGCATGGTAGGTGATGACCACAGCAGGGAATTATCAGGTTTTCACCTGTCCAATTTTAACTTTGTAAGAGCCTTCTTAATTTGGAATATTTTAAATACCTTTTTTTAGTACAGTAAATTTAATTTCCTTTTTTACATACAGTAAAATACAGTGATTTTGGTATACAAATCTTAGAATTTTGACAGTGCATTCAGTTTTATAATGCTTCACCCCTATCAAGATAAAGATCAGTTCTAGCACTACCTACATTTCTAGCACCACCCATTTTCTTAGGCTGCCTATGTACAAACAGTGCTATACCCTACTCCCAGCTCCTTGAAACCACTGAGTTGGCTTCAATTCCTATAATTTTGTCTTTTCCAGACTGTTATGTAAGTGGAATCATACAGTATATATTTTTTGGAGTGTGGCTTTCTTCACTTACAATACTTAGTATGGAAATGTTTTGAAGTCTAGTAACAAGAATGATCATTTTAGTAATAAAAAAAAATCTAGTACCCCAGTATATTGAGAACCTATTGACCATGGTATATTTGGAATTATGAAAGCTGGATATTTAGAAGAATTAATCACAAACTATATAATTAAACTTTTTTTTAAATTTCTTTACTGCTTTATCAGTGCTGTGCCCAATATAATTTAGTCTGACACTTAGACTCTTAATTTCTACTGAAAAGAGGGATCTTTTATTTTTTAAAAGTGAAAACTGACTTTAATTTTGAAAATTTATATTGGAAGCAGGTTCTATAATAATGTTTGGCTGTTAACCCTTAAAAATACTATGTTTTTTAATGTTAATTCTATGGCTTCTTCCTCCAAAATGCCTTATAATGAAACTGAAAAATTATGCAAAGACATGTTCATTTACAGAAATTAGTATAAGGCACAAAAGTGCTCCTTAGGGCAAAAGGCAATTAGCAAAAACTAAGGAACATTTTCATAAGGAGTAAGTCAGATATATAAGATCATCAGGACTATCCAGGAAGTGATAGTGAATGCCCAGCAGGCTTTAAGAGATAGGAAACATTTAGCATGTTGGTAAATCATTTAGCGTATCAGCAAAAGCATATAAACAATTTTAGGGATAGAAATTATTATCATGGGGAAAAGCAGCAATTAGAAGATTTTTTAAATTCTTGAGTTGTTCCTCTATGCCAGTGTAACACAATATAAAAGATGATTTATAGAATGGGAAAAATTATATCTAAAAAAATTTTGGAATTCTTAAAAAGAAGACCATTAAAGAATGTAAACTTACACTGGTAGACATTTTAAAAAATAGAATAAAAAAGAATCCACTCATCATCAAGTATGAATTAAAGTATTGGCAGCATATATGGTATAGTTTAGTGGTTAAGAACTTAAGTGCTACACTGGACTGCTGCTTCAAATTCTGACTGTCATTTTCTAAATGCGTGACCTTGGATAAATTATTTAACCTTTTTTGCTTCAGTTTTCTCATCTGTAGAATGGCTTCTAAATAGGATTGTTATATGATTAATACATAAAAAGCTTAGAACACACCTGCAAAATAATGTGTTAACTATTATTCATATATTCTAAATTCTCCTAAAGAAAATCTTTCCAAACTTGTGTAGGTGATTATCAAAAACCAAAGGAAAAATCATGGTATAAAAAGTCCATAGGATTAAAAGCATTACACAAAGCACTTAATAATTCTGAAGTAGTTTTTTCAAAGAAAAAAAATAGAACTAACTTTTTCCCCTTGATTTTTACATTTTAGAGTGGTGAAACCAGAACAATATCTCACTTTCATTATACTACCTGGCCAGATTTTGGAGTCCCTGAATCACCAGCTTCATTTCTCAATTTCTTATTTAAAGTGAGAGAATCTGGCTCCTTGAATCCTGAACATGGGCCTGCAGTGATCCACTGTAGCGCAGGCATTGGACGGTCAGGCACCTTTGCTCTAGTCGATACCTGTCTTGTTCTGGTAAGAGTTTCTTATGAGCTAATTTTAGGTTTGTTTACTTTTGTATTGTTTCCACTAACAGGAGTAAGCTAATGTCAGTATCCTAGAACTGTGGTTTTCAAACTTAAACTTTTGACTCTTTTTAGGAAAAATCTGAACATTTCATTTATACTCCTTCAGTTACACTTGTGGGGTATAAGAACAGTTGAGTCTTATCACATCGACTTGGCCTATATATAGTCTACTTCAATCAGAAATTAGATTGGTACATTAAAGTGAACTTTGATATGTTTAAAACTCCAGTGTTTATTCTATTAATGGTGAATATTAAAACTGAATCATGTGTGTGCCTGTTCCCAAACATAATTCAACAACTTTTTTCTTTTTCAGTTGAGGGGAGAATATGGTGGTTATAATACCAGATCAATAGTCCAGGGCTGGTGCAGTGGCTCAGCAGTGTCATTGTGAATCTAGGTTTTTTATATCTTTCTTCTTCACCATCTCCAGAAGGCTGCTGTAAACAGACATGAAGGCAGAAGGGCACTGGGCAAAAAGTTTTACTCCTGCCAAGAAGAGCAGTTCTTCTTTATGTTAAGCCAAACGGGTCATAAATCCTTCCTTAGACCAAACACTGGCCACACTGAATGAGGTGGTTTTGGTTGGTTTGGAATCAATTATGAATCAGTTAAAGGACTAAAAGTCCTCCATCTACTACTTGAACAGTTGAGGTTTGGGAAGGTGGGTGTCTGGGGATCGTGGTTTTATATATAACTGACAGTTTCAGTGATAACGCATCCTTGTTTTTGAGGAAGAACATAGGACATAACAAAACTCTTAGTAATTATCCTTTATTGCTTCTCTTTCCTGGACTCTAAAACAAAAGGCTTGAATAATTTACTTTCTACCTTTCTTTCAGATGGAAAAAGGAGATGATATTAACATTAAACAGCTGTTACTGAATATGAGAAAATATCGAATGGGACTTATTCAGACACCAGATCAACTCAGATTTTCATATATGACTATAATAGAAGGAGCAAAGTTTATAAGGGGAGATTCAAATATACAGGTAAACTTTTTCAGGGGAAAAAATAATACCTGTGTAATAAATATGATTAGCATCAAATAACTGCACTTCATTTAAGCACTTATATTTTCCCTTCCTTCTAAAAAGCATAGTTACGTTAATGTGGTAAATCCAACTGGCCATCTTAAAATTATAAAATTAAACTCACTTCCTCATACATACCTGAGCCTCATATGAAATCCTACCTGTTACTCAAAAGCTCTACTGGGAACAAGATAACATTAAAGAAAATAAAATTTTCGTGTAAGGAGGGTTTAAGCATTTGATCATTAAAGTAAACCTGAAAATATAGGTGCTTTTACCCATTGAAAACTTGACCTGGAATTATAGAATACTTAGTTTATATAATAGATATTTCATTTTATAATAATGAGCAACTTGAGTACTTATGGCAGATATAATAAAATTCCAGTAGAATATTATACTTTCTTGGGTTGGTAGTTTTATTCTCACAAAAATATTCTTATTCCACATTTGCAAAAGCACATTCAATGACTGACTATCAGAAGCCATTTTATGTACTGACATAAAATGTAAAATAGAAACAACAAAGTAACAACAGACCTGCATTGCTTGTTTGGTCTGATCACATAGTGTTGGACATAAGTTTATGGAATCTCTTTCTTTATATTTCTCTTATATGAACACATCTACCAGCTCTTTAATTTCTGCAATTACTAGCTAAAACAATATTATGAATAAGCCTTTTAAGTTTCATTGAAAACTTTTTTTGAATCTTTTAATAGCTTTAATTTTTTTAATTGAAAAGAAACATTAGATTCATCAGTTTGTAAAATAGTCAGTTTGTAAGATTAAGCCCCACAAAACATGAGGCCCTACTTCAGAAGTTAGACTTGTAGAACATTGGGTTTGCTTGGCATTGAACTGTGATTTGGAAAAGTTATCTCAAGTATTTTAAGATTAGGAAAATGTCTCTTTGTTTTTACCTCAGTGACCATTTACCAATTTAAATCTGGAATCTTAAAAAAGTTAACTAGTTATACCAAACTTTTCCACCCACTTTTATAGCTCCCCTTGTCGCCACTCATTGCTTATTTCCTGGTTGTTCTTACAGACTGAGTAATTGTAGGGAAAGTGTACTGTCCTTTGCATAGTATTCCTCCCTGCCAGTTTAAATTTTTTTCAACTTAGGTTTCTCTTAGTTTTAGAATACACACACACACACACACACACACACACACACATACACACTTACTTTAAAGATCTTTTTAACTACAAAGATAAGTTTTATGGGCACTTTTTCTGTGGTCATCATTATTAGAACAATGCATATTGTGGCTAGGAAGAATGTTTTCTGTCCCAGTTTATCTGATATGCCATAGCCATCAGACTCAATTTGGCACCATTAGCACCCCATTCAACCCCAAAGCATTCTCTGCCTCCATTCCAGAAAAGACATTGGAAATGTCACTGTATTTTTCAGATGCTGATAATCATTGTTACGCATTTGTTACCAATCATGTTTCTCATTCGGAAAGCTCAGTTTCCACAGAAATTATTTTAGCCATACATTAATAATTTGTGAGTTGCTATTGTTTCTTATTATAAAAATGATTAATGAGTAAATGTTGGATATAAAATAATTAAAGAGTATGGAAGTATATCATGTACAAAGTAGAAGTCCTTGTTAACTCACTCACCCCAAATTTATAACATTTTATACATGTATGTATTCTTCCAGGAATATGTATTTATGTATATGGGCTTGGGGTTTTTTTACACATAGTTTTTTTTTTGTCCTAGAATTCCACAATCTAACAATATATCATTAACTACATGTGCTATTGAGTGTAGGTTTCCCCGCCATCTGAAAATGGAACATTCCCATGAAACTTTTGGTAAGCTTAAATGGCACAAAGTAATGAAGCAGTTATTATTATTTTATATGGAAACATTTTTGTGCATTCTTGGACCCAAAAAATAACCTACCAAACCATACCAAATAATACATAAAACCTGCCCTGGCTGGCACAGCTCAGTGGAGTGAGTGCCAGCCTGCGAACTATATGGTTGCCTGTTTGATTCCTGGTTAGAGCACATGCCTGGGTTGTGAGCCAGGTCCCCAGTGGGGGGCACATGAGAGGCAACCACACATTGATGTTTCTCTTCCTCTCTTTCTCCCTCCCTTCTCCTCTCTCTAAAAATAAGTAGGTAAAATGTTTAAAAAAATAATACATAAAACCTAAAACAGCACTAATATATACAGGGGTGTGCAAAAGTAGGTTTAAAGTTGTGAGTACATGAAACAAAGTTTATTCTTGTATTATTATTAGTGAAGACTGGCAATTTGAGCACTTGCGAGATAGCACCTAAGTACACTGTGCCATTGTGACATTCTCTTGAATTAATAAAGCTATTGTAATAATTATAACCTACTTGTCTTTTTCCATACAAAGAACTGTAAACCTACTTTTGCCCATCCCTGTAGTAAAAGTGGTGCCACTGTTGCTGCTCAGGATTTATGTTGCCTCTATTAACAGCTAGCTGCAAAATAAGCACTGAATGCTGTTTTCACAGAAGTGAAAATCCTCAAGATTTCTTTCAGTTAGTGAACACTAATTGAGGTAGGTCTTTTTGTATAAGCAAAGCAGCATCATGTGAACTTTTGAAAAGTGGTATATCTGTACTTGAAATATGGCTACTCTGAATCAAGATCTGCTTAAAATGTAAAATATACACCAAATTTTAAAGATTACATACAAGGAGGAAATGTAAAATGTCTCAATAATTTAAAAATATTGATTTTATGCTTAGATGGCAATATTTTAAAGTATTCAGTTAAATAAAACATTGTTAAAATTTATCTTTTTTAAAAAGCATGGCTAAGACATTTTAAAATTATATATGTGGCTCACATTGTATTTCATTGGACAGTGATATACTAGAACCTTAGCTTAGAACAGATATCTAAGAGGTATAATGTTCCCTGAAATCTTAAATCATAAAACTTTACTGTTACAAAGATGTAAAGTTACTTTTTATATGTAGATGCCCCAAACTGAATAATATAACTGTACCCATAAAAGTATTTCCTTTTCTGTACATGGAAATGATAACCAGTTTATGAAATTCTTATTTCTCTCCATACACCTAACTCATCTTTGCCTCTGGGTTTTGGGAAAACTCAATATTTGTGAGAAGAAGGAAGCTTCTTTCTAATGTGAGCACAACAGTAGTGAGGGTGGAGGATACTCCAGAACCTGTGTATCTCCCTCCAGAGAATGGTCTGTTCAGTAGCACCCGACCCATGTAATTCTTCATCTCTGGTACTTTTTCCTAAAAGGAGACATCTGTCTTCACCTTCAGTCTTTATTTAGATTTATATGATGCAAGTGATATTTTCATTACTGGATACAATTTTAAGTAAAGATATCTGGCACATGTGGATATAAAGTATTCATTTACAGAAGTCTTCAATGACTTTGACCTACCTAGAAAAATATGGATAACTTCTAGTGGTCTCTAATAAACATAGCATTCACCTTATACCTTTCTTGGTACAGGGTCAGATGTAAATACACAATATGTTTGCTGGTATTACCATGTATTTATTAGTACATTTCCAATATCAATGATTACAATAAACCTCCCACAGTAACTAATCCAGTTTGGCAATTCAGAGTTGGTATTGAAGATCTCTGGCTGGTAATTTGTCACTACTAATAAAGTATTTAGTAAGTGATACACTTTTAACACATTACAGTGGGTTTTAAGTTTAATTACATCATTTTACTGCTCCTTAGTGTTGGGCAAGCTACCTGGAGCTCCTAGTATGCCTAGTAGGGACAACCAAATTTAAGTCCTCTTGCATCATGGGGACCAGCTTGAAGAGCTCACTGTAGGTTCTGCATTAGATTAGATAGTGGCAAGGAGATACCAAATCACTTCTTCCAGTGTTACATACCTGTGGATTAGGAGTCCAGCAAAACCTGACTTTGGCTAAAATCTTTTTACTATAACTAATATTATAATTAGGTCCTCTTTCCATCATCTGTTAGCATTACAGGGCTTTCTTAAGTTGACAATAGAATTTGAATTCATAAATTCCTTTAATATTAAGGAAAACCAAAATTTGAGTGTTTACATTTGTTTTTTATCTTCCTTACCTAGAAACAGTGGAAAGAACTTTCTAAAGAAGACTTATGTCCTGCTTTTGATCATTCACCAACCAAAATAATGACTGAAAAATACAATGGGAACAGGATAGGGCTAGAAGAAGAAAAACTGACAGGTGACAGATATACAGGACTGTCCTCCAGAGTGCAAGATACTGTGGAGGAGAACAATGAGAGGTAAGAACAACATGCTTAAAAAGATGAGACTCTTTTCAAAAGGTCAATAAATGTGAACTGACATAGGTGCCTTGTTTTTTGAATTAATATTACCATTTATTAACTACCTGAGAGTATTTCAATAGCATATGATGACATCATTGATTTCAAAGAGCTTTCAGTTCTAATAAGAAACCAATACTTACAGACAGACACCAATTGGAAATGGTGTAACAAAATACTAATCAAGTACAAAAGTTAATATATAGTATAATTAGATGCTAAAATATATAGCATGACATAAAAAATAAATGGCATGAATACCTGTTTGTACAATTATGTAGTTTTGTACTATAGTTATAATGTGATTGGTAATATGACTTTTATAAAATTATAAAATATTTAATTAAATATAAAAGCTTAATTCCATTATTGGAAAAAGAAAAAGTTTTTAAAGATCACATAAATTGCCTTTTTATACTTTTTGAGTTTTGAATCCATAGGAATGTGTAAACTATTCAAATTTTTAAATTAAAAATTATATATATTTCTAAGGCTGTAATTATCCCACATGCATTAGGAAGCTGTCCTGCTATCCTGAAATACAAGTCACTTGGAAAGTAATTGAGCTCTTTTTCTTATCTCTTTGGTATCTCTAAGTGATAGCTACTCTTCTTTGTGTCAGATAGGCTTTTTATTGTGGAAAATCTTATGCTGTGGTTATATTTGTTATGTTGGATTCTTGGGGTGTGTCCTGAAAAGTAAGGTCTCCTATACATATGGCTTCACTTCTGTATCTCCCCAATGTAAAAATTACCTGACAATTTATAAAAGATAACAATACATAGTATAAGTGTTATTATATATTATATTGTAGTTTATTATGACTTAACAACACTACTTATTTATGGTTTTAGAGATTTTAGACTACAAGTTAAAGCATAAAGTTGTTTATTTTTTTCCTTTCAACTTAAATATACTTTTGTATCAAGAAATATTGTTTTAAACTATTTTATCTTTTTTGGTAATAAGATTCTCAGATTCTTGATGTTGGTGTAGTTTTGGCTAGACTCTTTGCAGAATTAAATGGAATACAGGCTTGATGATAGAATCGGTATCCTTAACACTTAAGAGATGTTGATTTTTAATTTTTAAAGACACAGCCCAGCCATATTAACAGTTACAACAAGGCAAATCACTCATTCAAGTTTGGCAGTACAGAGCAGATCAGTAAAACCACTTAAAAGTTAGAGAGTGATTGCAGAGGGTAGCTTTCTGGAGGAGGGTGGGGAAATAGGAAGCAGCATTCATGTGTGTTGTTGTTTTCTTTTTGGGGGGATGATGAGACCAGAGCATACTTGAAAGCAGAGGGTCAGGTGACCATAGGAAAGTAAGGATTGTGAGTAGAGATGGCCAAATGAGGGAGCAAGTGTATAGAAAAAGTAAAACAGCATAAAATAAGTATTACTTGTAAAAATGTTATTGTTCAGTCCTAATAAATTTTAACATTGATCTGTAGCTTTGTATTAAAGATGCTAATAAATCAAAACCTTATTGAAGGGATTTCAGTTTGAAAGGAATGGAACCCAGTACTTCATTTTTTAATTTTCATTGTTATATATCCTTGAAATCAGTGTTTTTTTAATATGAGAGGTCACATTCCTTATAGTTATGAAATCAACTTTTTAAATAATAGAATGAAATATAATTGAAATCAGAGTTAAATTATAGAATAAAAGAGGTCAGAGTATCACAAATAGTAACTGTTTCAACATTTTTAAACATGTACATGTTATATGTAAATTCTGTACATTTACATACATAGTGTACCAATTTTTTTCATTTTTAAATCATTTATTTTTCAAGTGTAAATTACACTTGACAAACATTATTATAGTAGTTTCAGGTATATACCACAGTGATTAGACATTACATAGCTTAGAAATGATTATTTCAATAAATCTCATACCCATCTGACACTATACATACTCATTAGAATTTTATTGCCTGTATTTCCTATGTTGCATTTTACATCACCATGGCAATTCTTTTCTTTATTAAATTTTTATTATTGTTCTATTACAGTTGTCCCAATATTTCTCCCTTTGACCTCCTTTGTCCAGCCCACCCTCCACCCCCACAGTCATTCCCCACTGTATTGTTCCTTGACTCTTGCCCTTCGTTTCATCTTTATCCCTCATCCCCCACTCTGCTCTCCCCTAGTCTCTATCAGTCTTTTCCTTGTTTCCATGCTTATGATTCTGTCTTGCTCCTTTGCTGGTTTGTGTTGTTCGTTAGATTCCTCTTATAGGTAAGATCATACAATATTTGTCTTTCACCCACTGGCTTACTTCACTTAGCATTATATTCTCCAGTTCCAATCATGTTGTCGTGAAAGATAGTTCCTTCATTTTTTCTGCTGTGAACTAGTCCATTGTCTAAATGTACCATAGTTTTTTGATCCACTCATTCACTGATGGGCACTTAGGTTGCTTCCATCACTTGCCTATTATAAATAACTGCTGTGAACGTTGGAGTGCATAGGTTCTTCTGACTTGGTCTTTCAGGATTCTTAGGGTATAATCCCAGCAGTGGAATCACTGGGTCAAAAGACAGTTCCATTTTTAGTTTTTTGAGGAAATTCCATACTGTTTTCCACAGTGGCTGCACCACTCTGCTGTCCTACCAATAGTGCACTAGGGTTCCCTTTTCTCCATATCCTCACCAGCACTTGTTGGTTATTGATTTATTAATGATGGCCATTCTGACTAGTGTGAAGTGATAGCTCATTGTGGTTTAATTTGCATCTCTCTGATGGCTAGTGATATTGAGCATCTTTTCATGTGTCTGTGGGCCTTCTATATGTCCATCTTGGAGAACTGTCTATTCAGGTCCTTTGCCCATTTTTTTAAAGGAATGCTCTTTTTATTTTTAGAGAGATGGGCAGGGAGGGAGAGGGAGAGAAATGCCAACATGTGGTTGCCTCTCATGCGCCCCCCACACTGGCGCAGGCCAGGTCTACAACCTAGGCATGTGCCCTGACTGGGAATCAAATCAGCTATACCTCGGTTCACAGGCTGGCACTCCACTGAGCCACACCAGCCAGGGACTTTGCCCATTTTAAATTGGATTGTGTGTCTTCCTGGTTTTGAGTCATATGAGTTCTTTATATATTTTGAAGATCGAACAAACCCTTATCCAAGGTATCATTGGCAAATGTTACCCCATACAGTCAGTCCCATTTCATTTTGATAATGCAGAAGCTTTGAACTTGCAGAAGCTTTGCAGAAGCTTTTTAATTTGATGTAGTCCCATTTTTTTATTTTTCCTTTATTTCCCTTGCTGTAGGAGACATATCAGCAAAAATATTCCTGTGTGGGATATCTGAAATTTTACTGTCTATGTCTTCCTGTAGGGTTTTTATGGAGCACAACTTATTTAAGGATTTTGTCCATCTTGAGTTTATTCTGGTGCATGGTGTGAGTTAGTGATCGTGTTTCATTTTTTTACATGTACTTATCCAGTTCTCACAACACCATTTATTAAAGAGGCTATTTTTACTCCATTTTATGCTCCTGCACCCTTTGTCAAATATTGACCAAATAGACATGGGTTTATTTCTGGATTCTCTATTCTGTTCCATTGATCTATGTGTCATTCTTACGCCAGTTCCAGACAGTTTTGATTACAGTTGCCATGTAGTATAGTTTGACATCAGGTATAATGATCCCTCTTACTGTGTTCTTTCTCAGGATTGCTGAGGATCTTTGCAGGGGGATGTTGTTCCATACAAATTTTTGAAATGTTTGTTCTATATCTGTGAAATATGCCATTGGTATTGTAATAGGGATTGCATTGAATCTATAGATTGCTTTGGGCAGTATGGACATTGTAATGATATTCCAATCCATGGACACAGTATATAGTTCCATTTATTTGTGTCTTTCTTAATATCTCTCTTCAGTGTTGTATAGTTTGCCAAGTACAGGTCTTTTTCCTTTTGTGGTTGGGTTCATTCCTAGGTACTCTATTTTTCTTGTTGCTATAGTAAATGGGATTTTCCCCCTAGTTTTTATTTCTGTTATTTCATTGTTGGTGTATAAAAATGCCCTCAATTTCTTTTTTTAAATATATATTATTGATTATGCTATTAGAATTGTCCCATTTCCTACCCTTTATTCCCCTCCACCCTACACACCCCCTCCCACACACATTACCTCACTTTAGTTCATGTCCGTGGGTTGTACATGTAAGTTCTTCGGTTCTCCATCTCCTATACTATTCTTAACTTCCCCCTGTCTATTTTCTACCTACCATTGGTGCTACTTATTTTCTGTACATTTTCCCCCTCTCTCCCCTTTCCTCTCCCCCAATGATAACCCTCCATGTGATCTCCATTTCTGAGATTCTGTTCCTGTTCTAGTGGTTTGCTTAGTTCGTTTGTTTTTTTTTTTTTAGGTTCACTTGTTAATAGCTGTGAGTTTGTTGTCATTTTGCTGTTTGTATTTTTGATCATCTTGTTTTTCTTAGATTAAGTGCCTTTAACATTTCATAGAATAAAGGCTGGGTGATGATTAACTCCTCTAACTTGACCTTATCTGGGAAGCACTTGATCAGCCCTTCTATTCTAAATGAGAACTTTGCTGGAGAGAGTAATCTTGGGTGTAGGTCCTTGCCTTTCATGACTTAGAATACTTCTTTCCAGCCCCTTCTTGCCTGTAAGGTTTGTTTTGAGAAATCAACTGATAGTCTAATGGGAATTCCTTTGAAGGTAACTGTTTCCTTTTCTCTTGCTGCTTTTAAGATTCTCTCCTTATCTTTAATCTTAGCTAATGTAATTATTATGTGCCTTAGTGTGTTCCTCCTTGAGTCCAACTTCTTTGGGACTCTCTGAGCTTCCTGGAATTCCTGGAAGTCTCTTTCCTTCTCCAGATTGGGGAAGTTCTTCTTCACTATTTGTTCAAGTAAGTTTTCAATGTCTTGCTCTTCCTCTTCTCCTTCTGGCACCCCTATGATTTGGG